CTTCCATTTAGAGTGAAAGTGTTGGGTGAAGAGAAGTCCTCGAAACACAACTTTTCTTGGCATATGTAACAGAGAAAAGTTGTGTTCCCAAAAATTCGTTTTAGGTGATGAAGGACTGGTAGTTGAATTTTCCCAAAATGATATGAGTAGAGCTGTTATACTGGTAGTCTCGAAAACCTACTCAATAACGAAAAGATAATTGAGGAAAACCAGTACTAACAATTCGTATTAAGCCTATATTATGATCGTCGGTTCCGCATATACTACTAAGTCACTACCGAAAAATTGATCACAATCTAATAAGTCAGTGATTCCCAAACTGCGCGCCTCTTTACAGGGGCGCCCCAAAATATGGTAAAAACTTCAATTTGAGAAAATGTGCAGTGATTTTCAGGCTCATCCAGCACATTAACTAGTAAATATTAATTTAATGTTAATAAAGTAAAAAAAATAATGAAGATACCCGAGTTTTATTTATTTTTATCTCTTACTTACGAATAGCCCTACTTAGGGTAGGGCGCCATGGAAAGATTTCAATTGAATAAGGGCGCCGTGGCTAGGAAAAGTTTGGGAACCACTGTGTTAAGTGATGCTTCGAGACCCAGTTTTTATACATATAGCACATAAACATTTGAATATACCAACTAGCGATTTATCTCTGCTTGTAAAACTCCAAACTTGCCGTTTTTTAGATCGATTTAAATGACTACTAAGCTAAAAACCATCTATATATGTAAAAAAATAATTTTATGCCAATCTTAATAGCTTTTACATATTTCTAACCCCTAAAGGTTACATTTCAGGAAAAGTATAAATGGCCTTATATCAGGCTTTTGTTACGAAAGAGAGAACAAACTCATAAACATGTTTTCATCCCTTTGATGTAGAAGATACGTGTTTTCAAAAACCTCAAAAGCAAGGAAAGAATCTAACTATTTTAAGTGATGATTGGATATTACTATGCCGTCCAGTTTAGTTGAAAGATTCTTTTGGGCTAATATTAAATGAAATTCAATGACAGCACCGTCCATCTCACCTTTTTCAAACATTGCACAAATACATTTCCTATACGTATAGGGAATCAAACTTGGGAAAAGATCACTGTAAACAGGAATCTAATGCTATAGATATGAAAAAGAACCACTAATTTTAAGCGCCTATCTAGAATATTGTCTCGCCAAGTTTCGTCTCAGCGACACTTTAGTCTCTGAACTAAAATCCATTTAAATAGGAATTCAGACTAAATAGGTCCCAAAAGGTGATTTAAGTAAGGATAGCGTAATTTTCGCAAGCCGAAATGCATGAGCCTCATGCTTCCATCTAGCTTTTCCTCCCAAAAGTTCTGATTCAGGATGGACTGCAGTTTCAAACTCGCCTGCGTCCCAAAAGTATTTGAAAACGGGTCTTAAGCATCATGAAGACATTTTGTCGCTTCACTACACATTCAAGAGTGTCAATTGCCAATGAGTGAAAGTGTGTCACGAAGACGCGCATAACCATTTTGATTCCCGTTGGAGGCGCTGATGAAACCGAGGCAAGGTATAAACTTACGTCTGGCCGAATTAAGAAAGGTTTTTGATGCAAGGCTAAACGAGATTTAATGTAACAGTGAGACCCACTCATTTTATTATGTATAAATTTCATTATCAGTCTATACATCACCTTACGACCTAGAGTGACTAAGTTCTTATCCAGAATGAATAAAGAAAATCTGTCTCTTGAAAAGGGTTTTGGAGTGAAGACTGTTGGGTTGTGAAAAAACGTCATCAGCTCATCATCTTGAGACCCAAACTTGTTTTCATGATGTCTATTATACAACAAACGAAGGCTGAGTACAGGTTAATCCGGGTGGCAAGACGGTGCCGAGGATTTCTTCACACAATCCAGCAGTAGTCATTTCAAGGTACTCTTGCTTAGGTTTCTGATGAGGTCAATTTACTCATTCTTTACAACCAACTCTTCCTTCAAAATAAAGTCGTGAAACAGTGAAGACTTAGTGTATTTGCGAGCTGTTTTCTTAAATTATGATTTCTCGCACTGAAGATGTATTATGTGAGTGACGAAAGCTCTGCACGGATTCATCTGGATCGCTTCGCATAATAAAACAATATCCACTCCAAGACGTTCTTTCTTCGATTTACGAACAGGCCAATTCATGAAGCTTTTTCAACCAACTTTTTAGTTCACATTAAATTATTAGGCTATTTTTCGAAAATCGGCTATTCTTAATAAAGTACGTTCAACTTTTTAATGTGGCTGAGCATTCTCACTTCCGTCCCAACAACTAAATTTTCAAGTCTGGGATCACCAAAGTGCTTCATTAGTTTAGAAATACTCTTTTCTCCAGGTTGTGTTTCAGTGGAATATGACTCTTATAAGCAAGTTAATACACTGACCAGAAGTCTAAAGCCCTTCATATGGCATGTGATAGCAAGATGAAGACTTTATTAAAGTTGTCTGTCAAATATCTATCTCTCTTCTTGTCATTCCCGTTTGAGCTTAATGCTTTCTCATTTTTAATTTAATATAGCATTAGCTGAAACAATAGCGGATAATAAAACAACTCTGAGATTCTTTTCTGTGTAGATAAAACACACGGTTTACTCACTGAGATACAGGTTAGGACGCATGACTGAAAAGAAATGAGTGAAGAATTCTGGCAATTATGATCTCACGACAAGACCGACGGTAGTATCAGAGTCTTCTGTACGCACAATGGAGGTTTCTTCATTCTTTAGATCAGGTGGACGTGTCACAGGTCGTGAATTCTTTTCAGTGATGCCTAAGGTTCTGATTCGATAAGATTTACGGTTCCCATGCTCCTGGTCAGTGCATTCTTCCAGTTTGCAAGATGCAGACATGCGCCAGCTCCCTCGAGTACCCGATCTTTTCTTAGTACGCTCAAGCTAAGTGTGACGGCAAGTTGCATGTATATTGACAAATGGTATGCGAGAGCTATATTTACTATATTATACTTGAGGTGATGATGGAACAGAAGTTGATTTCTCTCACAGTGATATAAGTAGGTTTAAGGTTTCCAGTGAATTTCATTTGACCTTTCTTCTCAAAAAGTATGTTCATAGGGCAGAAATGAATTGCGATTTCGACCTCAATTGGGTCCCATCAGCACTCCCGGCGGGAATCGAACCCGGATAGTGACTTTAGAGTACTCGTGGCAGTGTGGAGTAGTGGTTAATGTGCCAAGACCATACGCAAGATTATCACAACCCGGATTCAGGTCCCACGGGGGTGCTGGTGAGACCAGTTCAGGCGAGGTCGAAATTCAATGGAAACGTGAGGCCTACTCATTTCACCGTGGGAAAATTCAACTACTAGTCCATCATCACATTAAACTAAATAGAATGAAAACAACTCTTTTTTTGCAAGATCTACTAGTAGTCTCGAAAGCCTACTTATAAACGGACAACGGTATGCGAGTGAGCAAATGCAGACAGCCACTTTTTGAAGAGTAGCTGAGTTGGTTTAGAAAATGCAATTATGTCAGTGAGATTTATCCTGCAGACGAACTAGCGCATCCACAGCTGTCATTTCATTGATTGAATCTTCCTAATATGGAAGGAGAAATTAGCTTGGCAAGAATTAATTATCTTGAAAAGTTGGTCAGCTATTTTACTAACGCTATATAATATCAAGATCTCAGCAACAGCGTCTTTATAAAGCCTTTTTACCAGATGATTGGCGTCAGACATCTCTGCAGGCGTTAGGTCTGCTATTAAAGAAAAATTACATGCTTTTACTTTATCTTGTTTGCCTATGTGAAGCAATAAAATGCTGACTATAAAGAAACTGAAGAGTCGTACAGAGACCCGGAAAAGCTGTATTCCCGTACATTGCTAGTCTACCTTCTTCAATCATGCAACCATCGACCATTTACATTCCCAGGCGTCTTTACGGCATTGTAGTTGGGACCATCCATAAGTGGAACCACACTTACTACGATAAAACAAGGTGAGAAGTCAGTGATGAATTTTCTTTCTATGCTAGGCATGGCGATAGTGTCTGTTAGTGCCAATTACGATAGCGATAAAATTTCTGTAAATTTACCCAGTCGGACGTCCGATTTTGGGAGACCAAAGAAGAGTAGCAAAGGATGTACAACAGGCCAAGTTCTTTGAGATACCTCAGTAAGTACGAATGAGTTGTGGAAATGAGGTACCAGTAAGAGTATACAATGAGAAGAGATTGACACCAAATAAAAAGTCACATCTACGTTTTAGTTAAACCTTTTATTCACAAACCTTTTTACACATTTTGCCATTATTTGGGTAAATAAATATGAAACCTTTTAAAAATGATTCAGGCCTCAGATAGTCTGGCATTGCTTGCCGCCTATCTGTTCCTTGGTGGCCTCTTGTACGCCTGGGCGCTGGGCGCCACAGCCAATGCTTGGGGCCCCCTGGACGCCATCTACTTCGCCTTCACAAGCATCGCTACCATCGGGTTCGGTGATATTGTGCCCATGGAGGCAGAATTCTTGGCAATTGCCTCCATTGTCTATTTGGCGATTGGGCTGGCGCTGTGTGGTCTTATCATGACACGCCTCTCAGAGGCCGTTGACGAACGCCTGGCCAGCTGGGCCGGCATTCAACCAGCCATGGTTGCGGAAAATGGACCTATGCAAATGGGTCACAGTGCCGGTTACTATACACCTGACCAATCACGTGTCAAGCGGGCTTGAGACACATATCATTCACCCATCTTCCCTCTTTCCCGTTGCCCTCTGTCCTGAC